TAAAATCCAGAAATGACGGAACTAGGGGGTGCTGTGTTATGGAGAGTAATGTGTGACCGGAAATGGTCTGCAGTCAGTTGGTTGTTACCATGTGCCAGTGATGTTGGGGTATGTAGTACAGCAATATGAAACTATTATGTAGGCCTAATGAATGAATAAAGTTTGGAGTTTGTCGGGTAGTGAAATGATTATTTCACATTTTAAGTGCTCCCTAAATTCATAAGTGTAAGCTAGATTACAGTGATTAATTTAATTATCGAAGATATGGAGACAATTATTTCGAATCCCTCTTTCCAAGAGGGGATGCAAATGCTTTGTGAAAATGAGTACGCCGCGGTACTCATTTTCACAAAGAAATACACACAACTGGTTAGCTAACAATTATGTCAATGTTACATGAACACCTGGGAAGGAAGGTGCAATCACGTTGTTACCTAGCAAACGTCTGCACTGTATGGGGAGGGGCTGCTGATGTACTGTGTAGCGGGGGACGATGAGGCATAAGACTAGGCCTAACTAAGACGGTGGAATTATATGTGATAGAAAGTACACTTTCGGAAGAAATAAATTAAAATAAGAAAAAAAAATAACTAAGAATAATTCATTTGCAGAGGTACCTTATTTATTATACAATGCTAACAATGCAGCCCTGGCTTGGGCAAGGCATCCATGTGCAAAGCAGTGGTGTTTGTTTATCCATGAAAAAAGCACGCCGGGAAAGTTTGCCTTACTAGGAACAGGTGACGTATCCAGAGGTGACGAACTAGGGGTGCTGTGTTATGGAGAGTAATGTGTGACCGGAAATGGTCTGCAGTCAGTTGGTTGTTACAATGCGCCAGTGATGTTGGAGTATATAGTACAGCAATATGAAACTATTATGTAGGCCTAATGAATGAATAAAGTTCGGAGTTTGTCGGGTAGTGAAATGATTATTTCACATTTTAAGTGCTCCCTAAATTCATAAGTGTAAGCTAAATTACGGTGATTAATTTAATTAGCGAAGATATGGAGACAATTATTTGGAATCCCTCTTTCAAAGAGGGGATGCAAATGCTTTGTGAAAATGAGTACGCCGCGGTACTCATTTTCACAAAGAAATACACACAGCTGGTTAGCTAACAATTATGTCAATGTTACATGAACACCTGGAAAGGAAGGTGCAATCACGTTGTTACCTAGCAAACGTCTGTACTGTATGGGGGAGGGGATCCTGATGTAACTGTGTAGCGGGGGACGATGAGGCATAAGACTAGGCCTAGGCCTTACTAAGACAGTGGAATTATATGTGATAGAAAGTACACTTTCGGAAGAAATAAATTAAAATAAGAAAAAAAAAAATAACTAAGAATAATTCATTTGCAGAGGTACCAATGCAGCTCTTGTAGCCCTGGCTTGGGCAAGGCATCCATGTGCAAAGCAGTGGTGTTTGTTTATCCATGTAAAAAGGATGCCGGGAAAGTTTTCCTTACCAGGAAAAGGTGACGTATCTAGCTTATGCATGCTAACTAATATGCATGCTAACTAATGCGAGTGTGACGTCACCAAAAAATGAATATTTTCTATTATAACCAAAATATTAATAACTACAAAGTTTCTGGGCGTAAATTCCCTTAATATGAATGAAGGGTTGCTTAATCTCCTTGCCATACAAATTCCAGCTCCCACTGACGTCTCAGTCGAGAAATATGGGTAGCTGAAGTTTTTCTCGCAAATCTGACTACAAAACCATATCCAAATTTCACGTTCCACCTTTTACCCTGAGTTGTGCTTCGCACTCGCCGCCGAGGATGGCGTTCCGGGAACCCTGCGTCCAGCAAATAAATAGTAACACAAGGTTCAATTCAGAAGTTTGGGTTTAAATTTTAATTTTTATAGTGTTTCACATCCAGCTGTGGTTGGTTTGACCATAAAGAAAACACATTGTTTATGTTCCATTATAATGCTAGCTTATCAGTATTTTGTGCAGACATTCTAATTGTATAGCATCTGTACTAAAACATTTTAAATTAAAAAGGGAACTTTATTTTTCACTATCACACAGTGCCAATTGTAAATGTAAACAACAAAATTACAGAACTAATGACAAAAAAAATCAGTCAGCAATAATAATAATATGGTGATTGTAATAATTCATAATAATAATCTGGTATTACCATGAGTATTAGTAATAGTCTAGGAAAGAATTAGTTAGAAGGAGCAGAATGTTAGAAGCAATCCACATAGCCAGATATCTTAATACCTTCTGGTCACCCTAAGCCCTGTTGACACTTGATTTTACGCCTTATATAGAAATGGCCGCCATTGTTCAAAATGGTCGCCAAATTTATCTAAAATGTGCATAAAAGTTAAATAAGCTGCAGATACGATTTTAGTGTCTAAACTCATAATTTCTAGACAGGCAACAACCTAGACATATAAAAACTACTGTCACTCAACATATGCAAAAACTGGTGTTTATTTGTTTTAAAAGAAACCGCAAAATATACTTAAAATATGTACAAAACAAGAATAAGTATGTAAGCTACTAGTACAGTTTGTACCTTAATTGACTAACTTTAAAATTTTTGGTGCGCTGAATTTGAAAATGGTAGGTGCCATTTTTTCTCCCATCATCAGCTGCAATTTTGAATTTCAAGATGGCTGACGCACCACATAAAACATGGTCATGATTAGTGTGGGTCGTGACAAAGTGCGAGCCAGCGAGTCATGCGAGTCGTGCGAGCCATGCTAGCCATACATTTTAAATATTTTTTTGTATCTGTAATTATTTTTATTAACAAGTACTATTGTATTTATTTATTTATTTCTTATTACATAAACAGTTAATTACTTTAGTAAATTTCTAGCGGAATATTCCACTGCGGTAGTAATGGTATAATTGAAGCATTGTGATTGGCTATATGTTCATGTTGCAGGAGGAGGAGGATGACGTTGACGGTATGCAGGTTTTGCCTTCGCTGGTCTTTTGGATCCGTAAAAGTGACAATGACAATATTTTAATATAAATTATGATGTTCATATGACCTTGTCATATGAACATCATAATTTACTAAATACTAAAATCAAACCATTTCCTGCAATCAAAAAGTGACTTAAATCAACGCGGCCCGATCATATCCCTGGCTGAGACTAATATTAGAAGTCGCAAAAAGGCCTCGCCTACCTCGCCAACCTCGAAACCAACAGGAACAGGAGAGGGCGACCGACGAAGAGGGGGTTTGAATTCTGAAATACGAATCGTACCCACCTGCATGTTAAATCACGTTCGATAACAATTGATGTTATTGTCCTTAGACTTATCATGATAGATTAATAAATAAATAATAAATGAATAGAATACTAAAATAGTATGGGTTATTGTATAATTTTGAGGATTACCATAACCACAACCGGCCACCGAGAGGGTGGGCAGGGGAAGATTCCCGGGGCCAAAGCTTACCAGGGCCCATAGAAATTGCAGGTAGTATTTTGTTTTCCATATTTAAAAAAAATATATTAATTATTATCATGGGCCCTTAATGGGTCCCCTAATAATGGGCCCTTCAGATTGATAGGGTTGCACCTCGGCGCAATCTTTCTCCCGCATCGTGCTCGTAACTGGGGACCACACCCACCCTTGCCCCTGTTACAGTTTCCTTTCCTCTCTTGGCGGCTCTGACCACTGAACTACTGTACAGACCCCCTAAAAATTTGCCACACATAGCTCCATCATCCTCTCCCATCATTTCACCACACCCTGAATGCATTGTTATAATTTGATTATAACAATCAATAATAATAATTTGATTGCTAATCATACTTTTGTTTTTATATTATTTGGAATTTACAGTCAGATAATTAAAAAAAAATTATATAATAATACAATAATTACAATATACCAAGCACCCAGGGGCATTATTGTTCAGGTGGTTTTTGAGGAGCCAGTGTTTACTGGTAAATGTACAGTAGTCCACATTGATGTTAAAAAGTGTTTTTGTATGGCTTATAAATCCCTTATTAGCAGTTAATTTAATTCCACTAGGGTAAAATATTGATAATTAATTCAATGTTGAAAATGATGTTGCTTTCATTTCATCCGTCCATAGTTATTAGAGACAATTCGAAGAAAAATTAAATGCCCTAAGTGTTTATTCCTAATGGCATCTATTTTTGGGAAGGGGGGGGGGTTATTCGAGGGGCGTTTGTTCAAAGCAGGGAATTTATTTGAAGAAATACTTAAAATTATAAATTGTTATTTAAAACATGATGTATCACAGACAGGATATTAGCCCATAAATTAATTTTTATTAGTCTTTTATGCATTTTAAATTATGACGTTTAATCTTTTAATTGTGTTTGGTTTCATGTTTTTTAATTGTGTTTGCTAGTTATGTTTATTTTGTGGAAATTAAATAAGGTCCTCCGTTTATGCATTGGGCGAATGGTCAGTGTGATTGAAATGAATATTACATAGCCTATTACATAGTCACAGTCAAACAAATATGTTAAAAGTAGTTATTATCATTATTGTAATTATTTTATAAATTGTTTTTTAGCGTAGACTTTTGTGTGCCTCGCATGACTCGCACTGTTGGTACACATCCCGCAAGGATTACATTCATGGCTCGCATGAATTGCATGCCTCGCTGGAAGACTAGCTGGTTTGCACTTTGGCAACTCTCAATTAGTGCCAATGGAAAGGGAAATATACACTGATCATTTATTTTCATTACACCAATAGGCAATTGCTTCAACAGTACTTCAACTTCTGGAACCTTCCATGGTCTCTTGTGTTTCTATAATTACCAATGTGGTTTACACTGTTTATTTGATCAACTAAATGTTATTCTAGAATGTTCTATGTATTAAATATGTTAAAATAAGGCAAGGAATGGTAATTTATTATAAGATGTAGTATAATAGACTGCTACCTCCTTGCTAATTCTTAGTCAATGCAATGTATAAAGTAAACAACTAAAACATCTAGTATTTACTCACATCTCTGAAATTTTTCAACTTACCCATTTTTGGTTTTACAAGTTGTGAATCATGTTCTTTATCACTATCTCCTGAGTGCTCAAGTATTCCTTCAGACGCTGAAAAAGCCAAAATCAAACAGACTCAACATACTGTACAGGATTATGTTGGAAGTTAATCTTATGCTTTTAAATATTAACTATGAAAATTATACATTTCTCATAATAAAGTTATGTAATATTTTACAACAGCAACACCATCAGACTTATAAAATATTTACGACAAATGATTTTTAGCTGTCTCTTATACCTATATATATATATAAATCATCAAAGAAAGGTAAATACAGTGTTTAATAAAGGACAATAATACATCACGTAGCATAGCTCTCAATGAATGTAGTCCTGTAAATAAATGAATAAAGAAATTGTGTAATAAAATGCCTCTGGCGGGACTGGAACCTGTGACCTCTCGCTGTCAAGGCGAGCGTCATAACCATTAGACCACGGAGGCTTCATGGTTGAACAGATTCAAATACCACCAGATACACTCAATTACACAATACATACGGCTAGAAACAAATAGTTGCATATAATATAAATCAAGATAGCCGCTAACACTGTGAAATTATATATAAATCATCAAAGAAAGGTAAATACAGAGTTCGAATAAAGGACATAATAATACATTGTGTAGCATTAGCTCTCAATGAATGTAGTCCTGTAAATAAATGAATAAAGAAATTGTGTAATAAAATGCCTCTGGCGGAACTTGAACCTGTATACATATCATTTAAGCATACTACTGTGATTCAGCATACATCGGTGAAACTGGCTGGAAATTGAAGTCATCATCTTGTAGCTATAATAATAATTTGTTTCTTCAAATGTATTCATTTACTTTGTTTAGTTCAAATTAAGGATTATAATTAACTTAGGAACATAAAACATCTATTCAAATCGTTTATTAGGAAGAATTCACACACAATCCAAATTTTCAGATCGATATCCTTATTGAACTGATACAAAAAATAGGATCAGTATATGAACGATGAAACACGGTCCAAACCTTGGATGTGATGTGAATGCAGCTTTATCCTTACTAAATACAATACTGTCAATAGCTTTATATGAGTGCTTTAAAAATGTTAAATTCCTTTGATTGGTTAATTTTTTAGAATACTACATAGCAGGCAATAATAAAATTAAGTGAGCACTCAATAGAGTGCATACCAATGTCAGACCACCTTTAAAAAATATTTTTTTAACTGTCTGTAATAGAGTACTACAGTGCCATGTGATACTGCTTAGTTTGCTATAATTGCAAAATGCGTTCAACCCGACGCCATTTTCACCACTAACAAACCACTGATCCCAATTTCTAATGTAATTATTAACATGTATCTTAAATTTTCTTTGAAAATTTAATTGATGATATAAATGTGTGTTCATTAACTAATATAATGCGAGCTTTTGTGTTTTTAGTACATTTTGATGGTAAAATATTAGATTTTAATATGCCTATTCCATAAAGCCTATGCAGTCATTCAGGCGTAATGAATGGTAACCTACGTCTGTTGACAAACGAGAGCGCCACCTGGCATCTTGACGACACGACTGTGGTACTCTATAGCCTTGTCTTGACCAAAATGCCTATAAATTACTTTAGGAGAGTGAAATGTTAAAAGCAGTTATCGTTCATTGAAGACTTATAGTATATGCAAGTTATAGATGTTCTTAAATGGCCGCCAAATACTGTAAACTTGAAATATACAGTGAGGCTTGCTATCCCAATACAAGCGTACAGCATAAGAACGTAGCAGCATATATTATATATATCTACGCAAGAACAGTATACTCTAAAATTAAGATGGTCAAATTAGGTCTGCAAGAGCTAAGACAAGACACATTCCAGTGTTACAACTTATAATAATGAAAAACAAAATAGGTTACTTAGTTATATGAAATTAATTGCCACTATTGCCATTAATATTAAATAGAAAATAATTTTAATCAAATTGGCTTAAGTTCTTTGTTCTTACCATTTCCTTTCAGAATACGGAGTGCAGCTTTGTATTCATTTTCATCAATGTACGTCATCCATTCATCCAAGAACTCCTGCTGATGTTTTTCTGGCACTAATACTCCTGTTAAATCCTTGATGAGCTTCCCACTAGAATGTATTTCCCATAGATTCAACAAAGCATTAGGATCATGTGTTGATAGATGAAACACTATACATCCTACTTCTACTTTGTCTAACTTTAAACCATGATGTTCATAATACATGACAACTCTTTTAAGTATAGCAAAACCCTTTGGCTTATGGATTAAAGTTAGAAAGCCTTTTTGTTTATCAAGTTCTTCTAACAAATTAAGAACATATTCTGGATGTGATCGATAATCCTTCTTTTTGCGCTTAAGAGTACATTTCACACCTATAAATAGAAGATTAAATAAAAACTAAATCAGTCAAAGAACATAAAACAATCCTATAGCCAATTGTGAGATTTTCTCATATCCAGTTATAAAGAAATAGTTTATCTAGGTAAGTATAATAGACAATGGTTAGCAGGCAATCCTATGCATCATAAACCAATCCCAGTCTGGGCAGTAGAGGCTGTGTCAAATTCTGGCCGGCAGACTGGAATCAGTTCGGCCTATCATGCTAGGCCT